TCTCTGTCGGCTCTGGAGGAAGGTCTTTGTGATGCATCAGTCTTCCCTTGGTCTGGGAGCATCTCAGCGCAGGAACCTCAGGTCCAAAGGACGTGCTCTGCTCCTGACACTGCTTTCTTGGTGGTGTGAGGTTCCCATGTGTCTCTGCTCACTTCTCTCTTTTATATCTCGAAAGAGATTGGCTTAAGACACTATCCAATCTCGTATACCTCATCAGTATAACTGCCGCTAATCCATCTTATTTGATCATAGTGATTGAATTTACAGCACGTAAGAAAATCACATCAGATTACAGAATGGTACACAATTATACAATACTGGGAATCAGATATTTTTGGGGGACACAATTCAATCCATGACACCAGGGGTGGGAGGGAGGGAGGAAAGGGAGGTTAATAGTGATGGAAAAATCACCTTGATTAAGGGTAGGGTTGCACAGCCGATTAATGTAATTGCTGTCAATAAGTTGTATACCTGTAAAAAGTTGAATTGGCAAAAGTAGTATGATAGATCTATGTACAACAGTAACAACAACAACAGCAAAGAGTAGCTGCTGAGGCTGCTTACGTACAACCACACACCTCATGGGATTTCTTGTTTTGGATGTTTACAGTCATGGTTTCATGGGAAATCCCAGTTAACTGGCCTAATAACCTATTTGTGCTTCTGTTCTACCTCCTGTTTCAATGCATAGTGCCTGGGGTCTTAAAAGCTTGGAAGTGGCCGTTCAAGGCACAACAATTGATCTCCATTCACCTGGGGCAGTGGAGGAAGAAGGAGAGTCAAGAATAGCGGGGCGATGTGGAATGTGTGGCTAATTGCCCACATGAACAACTGCCTCCTTTGCCATGAGATCAGAACTGGATGGTGCCTGGCTACCATTGCTGATCATTTTGATCAAAGATTCCATACCTGATCAAAAATGGGAAAACGTACAACAGAATTTCAAATTTTCATGTACTCTAGACTTTCTGGAGCCATGAGGGTGGATGAACCCCTGAAACTATTGCCCTGAGATGATCTTTAAATCTTAAACCAAAAATATCCCCTGAATTCATCTAAAAACCAAACAATAGTTTAACTAGTGAAGAATGTCTGCCTTGAGCATTATGCTCTTTTAAGAACTATCTATATAGCATCAAATTGACAGCAGCAACTTGGAAGATTAGATAGGAAGCTTAGGGTGCAGTGAGTTTATGTTAATGAAGGAGGAACAACTCAGAAAAGGAGGGTAAGAATGGTTGCACCACTTGAAGAATGTAATCAGTGTCACTAAATTGTACATGTAGAAAAACTGTTGAATTGGTGTAATGTTTTGCTGTATATATTCTCAACAGCAACAACAAAATCAGAAAAAAATATGATAATATGGTTAATAATGAATAGTCCAGAAAACTCTAATAATGTCTTAAATATTTCATTATAGGTGCGGTCCACTAATTGACCTGTGTAAAGGTCCACATGTAAGACACACTGGAATAATTAAAACCATAAAAATTTTCAAGGTAAGTATTGACTTTTTTTAATACAGTAAGCTTAGTTTGAACTAGACTATAAGAGATTTCAATCATATCTTTTATAGTCTGAACATCATGACATTTAAAAATACTTCACTGTTACTTTAATGAGAATAAATAATATACCTTTTTAGAATTTTGTTAATTAGAAGAGTATATATAGCTTGTAATTATTTATCATTTAACCGTAATGTGTATGTTATAGTGCATTTCTTTTTATGTGATATTTTAAGATATTGTTCTGCGTACTATGGTTTTCTTCAATCGCCCTAATGTGAGCAAGAAATTTGTCTGCATGTGAGAATAACGTACCACAGGAAAATGAGAGAACAAAAAGGGCATGACAGTGTAATGGAGAGCTTGTGGCTCTGGAAATCAGAGGCAGGCCTCCTGTTTTTGTTTTGCCAGGGCCTGGCTTTGTAGTCCTCACCTGTCTGGGCCTTGGGTTTCTCACAGGTAAAATTATGGGCTGGATGACAGCACTGTTCTTTTTTCTTTTTCTAATAATATATTTTATTTTTTGTTGTTGTTGAAAATATACACAGCAGAACATAACCAATTCAACAATTTCTACATGAACAATTCAGTAACATTGATTATATTCTTCAAGTCACACAACCATTCTTACCCTCTTTTCCTGAATTGTTCCTCCACCATTAACATAAACTCACTGCCCCCTAAGCTTCCTATCCAACCTTTTGATTGACAGCACTATTCTTAACTGTTGATCCATAGAAGCCCAAGAAAGATTAAAAAAAAAAAATTATTGTGCTAAAACATTTATTGAAAAAAAATTGCCATTTTAACCATTTTTAAGTGTACAATTCAGTGACTATTAATTACATTCACCATGTTGTACTACCATCACCACTATATATTTCCAAAAGCCTTTCGTCATCGTAAACAGAAACTCAGTACCCCTTAAGCAGTAACTCCCCGTTCCCACTTTCCTCCAGCCTTGATAACCCCGAATCTACTTTGGTCTCTGTGTATTTACCACTTTTAGATGTTTCATGTGAGTGGGATCGTATAGTATTTGTCCTTTTTCAACTGTCTTATTTCACTCAGCAGAGTGTTTTCAAGGTTTATGCATGCCGTGGTGTGTAGCAGGACTTCACTTCTCTCTATAGCTCAATAAAATTCCATTTACGTATGTGCCACATTTTTTATCCGTTCATCTGTTGACAGACACTTGAGTTGTTTCCACCTTCTGGCTATTGTGCAGAGTGCTGTAGTCAACAAGGCAGAACTTTACTTCCCGATACCTCCTCCTTCTCCTGCCTTCTCTCCGTGGTAGCTGTTGCCGTTTAGCATTCCTTCATTTTCGCTCTTTCTCACTTACATGCCTAGAATCCACAGCAGATTTTTTACATAATTTTCTGATTAATGGTATAATTTGGGCTGGCAAGGTTTGATTAGAATCTTTAAGGTTCTTTCCAGCACTATAAAAAGTATTCCTTAAGTAAACTATGTTGATGTTATGGTGGAAAATTGTGTACATATTTAATAGCACTTTTGTTTATGAGCAAATGTTTGATATGGTTACTGATATTGTTTGATGTTTAGAATTCCTCAGCATATTGGGAAGGCAATCCTGAAATGGAAACATTGCAGAGGATCTATGGTATCTCTTTTCCTGATAACAAGATGATGAAAACCTGGGAAACGTTCCAAGAGGAAGCCAAGAACCGAGATCACAGGAAAATTGGGAAGGTAGGCCCCAAATCCTAATCGCTGTTGAGATAGAAACGTTTGTGGTTTCTTTGGTTTATGATTACATCTCATTAAACTAAATAGGTTTAAAAAATTTTCTTCTACTCCCATCTTGTGTTATGCTTGCACTCAGTCTGCTGTTGAATTCTTTCATGCTCATACCCTTAAAAATGTCTTCTAAATGCTTTCCTTCCTGTATATTTATTAGATTTAAAAAATTGCACCCTTCTATTATTTTTATCGTGATGTCAAGATAGAGTTACTTTTTAAATTGTGTACCGTTGATAGCATACTTTGTATTTGGGAAGCAGAGTAGTGTGATAGAAAGTGAAAGAGATGTGAAATCAGGTAGACCTGTGTTTAATCTTACTCTTACAACTTACCAGCTGTGGTATATGCTGGGCAGGATATTCTGTTATGAGGCTCAGTATCCTCGTCTGTCCTGCAGGGCTTACAGGCTGATGTGAGGACAGATACTGGGTAACGGTGCTTGGCAGGTGACAGCCATGGTCACGAGCATCCCACCTCCCACAACAGACTTTGCTAATCTTTTTGCCATACTGTTTCCTTATTGGATCCTACTTCAAGTGTGCTAAGTAAGAAAATTAGCATTAAATAATAAAAGGTAAAATAAAAGCTAAGAGGGCATTAATGGTTCAGTGGTAGAATTCTCGCCTTCCGTGTGGGAGATCCAGGTTAGATTGCCTGCTAATGCACCTCATGTGCAGCCACCACCCATCTGTCAGTTGAGGCTTGCATGCTGCTATGATGCTGAACAGGTTTCAGTGGAGCTCCCAGACTAAGCTGAACTAGGAAGAAAGGTCTGGCGATTTACTTCTGAAAATCAGCCAGTGACAACCCTGTAAATCAAAATGGCCTTATGTTATAGTGCGTGGGGTTGCCATGGGTCAGAGGCTGACTTGAAGGCAGCTAACAGCCACATCAAAATAAAAGCCAAGTTCAAAGCTAAGTAACCATAAATATTAATTATAAGTTTACATGTAATATTATATATAGTTAGGTGATAAGTATTGAGGAGCCTTGGGATCTACCTTACTAGAAGATGGAAATGACAACTGGGCATGATAGGCATTATTCCTAGCATGTCATGTATATGCAGTGAATGTTAAGCAACAACAGGTGAAATCTGAAGAGCAATTATTGTTTTACTCTAGGAACAAGAACTTTTCTTTTTTCATGATCTGAGTCCTGGAAGCTGTTTTTTTCTTCCCAGAGGAGCCTTCATTTATAATACACTTATGGATTTCATACGAGTAAGTTAATTTTTAAACTGTTTTATTCTTAATTCAACTTCATTTTACATTTTACTATTTTCTCTCATAATAAAATGAGCAAGCATTTCCATCAATTTTATGTTAGTAATACTCATAAGAATTTTGAACACAAAAGAGAAACACTGGATTGTACCTTCTAATAAAAACATTGAGATATTTTCTATTTTCTGTAAATAAAATGCAATCTTGGCTTTTATTAAATGTACCTATATTAAGTTTCTAGAGCATGTACAATATGAAGATAAACATTGACTAAATGTGAAACTCCCTGTGAAAGAGAAGAGATAAATGTCTTACCTGGTGCAGAACACTAAACTGTGAACATTGTTTCACAAAATGTGGTCCAGGGACCGCTGGTAGGCCTTGTTTTTCTGTGAAGTGATTCACAGGTGATTTGGCAGCTCCAGAGGAAAGAGTGAAAAAAACAATTTTGTAAAATACCTTTAACAATTACTTTTTAAAAGAGAAAGTTTTTTCCCCCCTAGAGTAATATAAGTTCATAGACTAGAAAGTCTTCAGTATTTACATTATGGGGACTATGTAAATATTGTTCAGAGGTGATCCATGTGGACTACTCAGATTACATTTCCCTTCTTTCACCTGTTTGTCTTTCCTGGAATTAATAATTACCAAAAATTGTCATCTTTTCCATTTTCTATGTGCCTATCACTAAGTAATCCTCAAACTTTTCACTCAAAACTGCAAAACTTCTTGCAGCTTATTCTGATGATTCAAGTAATTACTCAGTTAATTTTTGTTTTTTTTTCAAACTCAGTCCTCTTGCTCCATAATTAACTTGCTAAGTTACTGCCAGCTGTTGTCTCGGAACTTTTCATCGCCATCCTGGCCAGTCCCCTGTTGTTTCTCCTATGTTGAATCCTCTATTTCCTGATCCCATGCCTTCCTCTTTCTTGATCATCCCTCTCATTTGGGTGGAGCACTTTCCTCAGTAACTTCCTGAGAAGAGGGTGCATGGCATGTGCTGGTTTTTCTGTCTTCTTCAGTCTCATTCTCCCTCCTTCTCTGTCTGCACCCCTGGAGGCTGACCTCTAGGGACTGTATCACCTGGGTTGCATACCTTCCAGGAGGATTTGTATTTAAAAATAGCAGCCAGTGAGGACTGGGTAGGGGAGGGGATGGACAGCGTGGGAGTGAGTCTTGAAGAATCACTGAAAATTATCAGAGACTACAAGGGACATGATGGCCACTGCAGCTGCTGTTTTGGACGTGCTAACTTTACTGGAATATCAACACAACATTGGCAGCATGGATTCTCAAGGTTGCAGGTGGAGTAGGTGAAGAAGAAACAGAAAGCCTTTATGGAGGCCTTAAAGGAACCTCTCATCTTTTATATATGCAGGAAAGACTCAGCAGATGATCAGGCCCAAGGCCTGATTGTATGGGTTGCAGAATTGTAAAGCCATTTATATACACAACCCCAGTGATCTCTCAGGCTAAGGTAAGGGCACTGATTGGGAAACAGTGGGTCCCAGAACCTTGAAATGGGAATATTTGACAGACACAGATGAGGTTGAGAACTTTTAACTCCCAAATACCCTTGTCTGAAGGAATTGGCCTTTTGAAGAGTTAAAAAACTTTCTGGGACTTGTTTTTTCTCTTGGCTTTCAGTTAGATGGCCTTGCCTCCTCCTGTATCTAGTAATTTTTATTGTATGCCAAATATTATATAAAATAACTGTAGAGGCTCTAGGTAATGTGTTCTCCATCTGCCAGGATTGGAGGTTGACCACTCAATCCAGTCAGGGATTGAGCTGGCTCAGGGCTGGGCTTCCATTCTGGTAAGAATCTGTCTACCTGGGATTCATCCCTGTTTCAAGGATGTGGCCTTCTGAGGCTTTCAGTTGGGAATCTGGTGAGCCTTTGTCTCTACAGCACTGAAACACCACAGGAGAGTCAGTTCTGCCCTTCTGAGGTGTTCTACCGCTAAGTAACCAACTATTCCTAGAGTAACGACTTTCACCAGAGTCTTCGGCAACAAAGAGATCTTTATTGTGACACATCAGAAAACAAAAAATGGGAAATTGGCTGCAAGCACTCAGGCTATAAACAGACCAAAATCCAAAGAAGTACAATTTTTGGGTGCTTTTTATACAATTTTGACAGGTGCTAATTCATTGTGAGTAGGGGTCCTTCAGCCTGCCCTTTACAATCATTGGGACACATACCTATGAGTAAGTTACTTACATGCTATGATTGGTTAAAGTAAAGACAAAGAACTAAGATCGTGATTGGGTGACCTTTTTTAATTTTTCCTAGACTTGGTCTCTTGGTTCAGGGGTCCTGAGTCTGTCATATGATGGTTGTTTTTGTTATGTGGGCTAGGTGTGGTATTGGGTAGATCTTTAACTCGCTTCCTGGGGTAAATTGTTATTTAGTTTTTGCTACCCATGTCCGCAGTCTGTTGAACCAGTTAGAGCACTCCATTCTGCCCTTTGATGTAGTTTTTTATTGTTTGAAGTTCTATAGGTCCTGACAAACAGGTTGGCCTTTTGTGGTTCTGGCCTGCTGTGGTTAGGTTAATCCTTTATCACTACTCTTAGCCAATTACCACATCGGCTCAAAATCCGTGAATATATCATTTGAACCAGGTCCAGGTGCAGATGAGTCTTCTCAGGTACAATTCCCTGGGCACAGATCATGGAGTACAGTTCCTCTCTATCTTAAAACCTGTGAACTAAAGAGGTAAGTTGTCTGCCCCCTTCCCCCTTCCCACATAATGTAAAATGGTGATAGACAAATCCGATGCAGTAGATACTCCCATTCAAAAAGGGATGGGGGAGAATAGGAGGCATGCAGTAATCACCAGCCTATAGAAATTCTGATACCCCCAGTCTCCTCTGCACCAGGGTCAAAAATTGCACGTTGATTGTTGTTATTGTTGTTAGTTGCCGTAGAGTCAGCTCCAACTCACGGCAATCTTACGTATAATAGAATGAAATGTTGAGGGTCCCGCGCCATCTTCATGACTGTTGATACATCTGAGCCCATTGTTGTGGCTGTTACATCAATCCATCTAATGGAGGGTTTCCCTCATTTTTGCTGACCCTCTACTTTACCAAACATGATGTCTTTTTCTAGCAATTGGTCTTTCCTGATGACGTGTCCAAAGTAAGCTATCCGAAGTTTGCCATCCTCGCTTCTAAGGAATATTGTGGTTGTATTTCTTCTAAGACTTCTTTGTTCTTTTGGCAGTCCACTGTATATTCAGTATTCTTCACCAACACCACAGTTCGAATGCATTACTCAATTTTGCTCCCTCTAGGCTCTGGTTCTGCCCTCTGAGTCATCCTTCCTTTTCTATAAGAAATAGCCCACATGTGCCCCTGAGTAGCTTTCTCAATGTTCTCAGCCTGATTCCTTCCCATAGAAGGCTGGGGGTTGTGCTGTCTTTATCTGTTTCAGCCTAAGCTAGTACAATTCCTTTAAAACATCATGGGATCTTTTATATACATATATAACCAACACCATTAGATAAAAGCCATGCCCACATCTCTTTCTGAGAGAGATCCTTTCTACCTAGGACTCCCTGTGAGGCTGCTGGGAGACGATGCACTCAGGAGTCTTAAAAGCCTTAACATTTAGCTGAGAGGGACAAGCACATCCTTAAGACTCTTAGAAGCCCTACTAGGTATTCACTTGGATTTCTCTGAGTTCTTAAGAAGGGGTCAGTCTTAACAGCACTCTTAAGATCTCTCTTTACTCTGAGGCCATGCTTTATTGGTCGTCACCTATATTTCTTCTTTGTCCTGAAGCCATTTCTCATCTTGGGAACCTTCTGCTGGGAGAGTCTAGGGTTGAGAAAGTTTTGTTTTTGAACTCAGGAAGTTCTGGTGCTTTTATATTTCCTCTAAATTTGGCTGAAAAACTTAATAGTTTACTCATTTGTTTACCTTTCTCTTTTTGTATTTTATAATAGGCAGCTAGAAGAAACCAGTAGTCCCTTTCTACATTCTGTCTGTACATCTCCCCAGCTAAATCCCTGAGTTCTTTGGATACCCTTTCTGTTTTCTGTGTCACCTGAGGTGCAGGTATTGCCAGATTTCTGCCACCACATAATGAGCATTGTCTTTTCCTCAAAGTCCAGTAACATTTTCCTCACTGTCCTTCAAGTCTTCACAGACAGTTTCTTCGAGGCCTGTCTCGCCTCTGCTCACCACCTGCCCACGAAGCAGAAGCTACACATTCTAGCTTTCTGGCATAGCAGCACCCATGTCCAGTGCCAAGTTCCAAAACTTAGTGCCTTAAACTGCCATTTCATTATTATCTTTCATCGTCCAAGTAGTTCTTGCTCATCTGGGTGGTTCTTGCATTGGGTTCCTTATGTAATGGCAGTCAGATGGGGGCTGAGGCCAGAGTTGTTGATTGAGGTATACATAATTCATTAAAATGCACAAATCTGAAACATATAGCTCAATAAAATTTGACACATATTTACATCTCTGCAACAGCCACCAAAATCAAGACATAGAACACATCCATCCTCCCATAAGGCCATCTTGGATTTCTTCACAGTCACTCCCTTCCTCCCTTCTTCCCACCTGAGTTAATCCCTATGCTGATTTCTATTACCATAGATTAATTTTTCCTGGTCTTAATTTCATGTAACAGCGTATACTGTTTTGTTTCTGGCTTCTTCTGTTCAACTTAATGTCTGAGATTTATCCAACTTGTGTATATAATAGTTTTTTTTTAATTGTTTTGAGGTTTTCCATTTTATGAATATAGTACAGTCTGTTTATTCATTCGTCTGTAGATGTACACTTAGTTGTTTCCAGTTTGGAGCTATAATAAATGAAGCTGCCGTGAACATTCTTACACACATCTTTTGGTACACATAAGTACTTACTTCTCTTGGATATGTACCTAGGAGTGAAATTGTTAGGTCATGGGGTAGGTGTATGATTAGCTTTTTGAGAAAATGCTAAACAATTTTTATGTAGTTGAACTTTTATATTCCTT